ATTGCAGTTTTTTTTGTAGCTCTGATGGTGTGTTATTCTTATTCTTAAGAACTAGTACGTATTAGGAGAAGGAGGGATGGGAAAGAGAAATCCTTCATTATTGTAGCTCATTCTTGGGTTCATGATAGACTTTAACATCCATCAATACTAGTAGAATTAAATAATCAAGTATGGAAAAATCAGAGGACATTTTATAAGTTGCAGTACTAACTCCCTGATGAAAATACTAAGCTTTACAAACAATCAAATGCAGATTCTTGGACTGGATTTTGAATGATAAATTTTTACATGGTGTCATGAAGCCTTTGAGACAACATGCAGTGTTCTCAGATGTACATCCAAAGAAGGTCTTCTTGGAAAATCCAGCATGCCATGCGATGTGCTGCATAATGGCATGCAATAATATTAGCCTCCAAATGAAGCTCTCTCAGAGGTTTGTGTTGTCAAGACAGTTATCTACAAAAACTGCCATTTTGTAAAAGACATAAAATAATACGAATTTGAAAATAATTAATAATCATCATGATGATGTCTTGAAAAAATGCAGTTCTAAAGCTAATGATTTTTGATCCATGCACTCCCAACATTTTCCCCATGTTACAGATGATGAATTCGGGGAGAGACTGATAACAGAACTGTTGTTCTCTGAGAACTTTGATATCTTTAGAACACAGATAAGACAGAAGAGCAGCAGTGCTAGCCTGAAAAAGGGGAAATGTTGAGATAGGTCTCTAAGTTCCAAGAGATTCTACACACTCACCTTGTTGGTTCCTTTTGTCACCTGCATCATATGCAGTAGTAACAGTGGATCAAGCCAAAGGAAATGCTGGCATATGGTTATCCTGGAAGAAAATTCAAGAGAACTTCTTTTTTCTCTACTTCATTTTTCTTTTCCCACTGGGAAAAAAAATGGCATCAAAACAAAGTGTGCACTTTGGGACAAGAATCTCTGAGGAGCTATGCCATTATGGACTGGAGTTCTCCATGGACCAGATGCTCATACATTCAGAAAGTGTTTTGGAAATCAGGATGCTAATCCAGGAAAGTTAGACATTTTCATCCAAGTTTGGGTGAAGTAGAGAAAAAAGAATGCCTTTTGTTCTCGCTAGGAGGCATGGTGAGCCATTTTGCCTTTTTTCAAAGGCACACCCAATCCTCCTGGAATTACACATC